TTATCTTCATATGTCAAAATGAAATTTTACCCACGGGAATCGCTAAGAAGCAGTTTTATCACCAAGCAAGTAAGTTGGATAACTTGGACATATATATATTCGTAGCTGCGTGTAACATCTACTGCAACGCGCAACTCTTCTCTGTGTCTTAAGTGTCTTTGTTGTTAATTTACGATTAGTTTGTTTTTGTTTTTAACCGCTTTTAAGTAGTTACTAACCATTTCAGTTTTTCTAATTGCTCATTAAATTGTCTGAATAAGTAACATTTGTATCTGTATTTGAAATTGTTGTAAATTAAGGATACTGAGGATAAAAATAGAGGATGTAGAGGAAACTCCAATAAAGAAGAGGGTTTCTCTCGAGTGAGAGTAATTTTATTGAAATTTTACACATATATATGTGTATCCATTCATCTTCACTATCTGTCAACATAAAATTTTCCAAATTAAATTCTAAAAGAGGAAGGCTCGTACAATAATCTATCAAATATAATATAATAATGGCTACACAGCCGTCGCGGAGTTGTTAGTCCGAAATAATTTATTTTTTACCTTGAAACTTATTTCGTTTACATGGAGACATTAAAATGTACACCGATCTTAGGTTTGAGATACTTTTAGATTGTGCGAAAATTTAAGTACATTGATCTTACAGCGAAGAGTGAGAATGTACAAATTAAATAAGGAAAATAAAGGAAAGATAAACGAGAAAAAATATCGGGGCATTAACGCTAAACCAAGTCTTGGACTCGGGTTTTCTTTCGCTTACAGGACAAATGTTCTAATCACTAAACTACTTAGACTCCACGCTTTTAACATTCTTTTCTCGCCAGTCAAGAAATAAACAATTCTGTAGAAAATAAGATCTTGAAGCCCGCGTGATTTAAGCAAATTAAATCCTACAAGAGAAAGGCTTGTACGATAATCCATCAAATATAATATAATAATGGCTACGGAGCCGTCGCGGTTGTTGGTGCGAAATAATTTATAATATTTATCATACAAGCATTTCTCTTGTACAATAGGATTTAATTTGTTAGAAGCGTGGAGTCTGATTATGAATAGTTTAGTGATAAGAACAATCGCGCCCGGCAAATGAAAAATCCGAGTTCAAGATTCGATTTAGTTACTCGCACTCTGATATTTTTTCTCGCTTTATTCTTTCTTTCTTCCTATTTTATTTCCCTATTTAATTTGTACATTCTAAATCTCCGTTGTGATATCAATGTACATAATTTTCGTACAGTCTAAAATTCTCTCGACAGGATTTTATGCCTTTTAAGGGGGAAGCCTCGTGTAACCGGTTAAAAAAATTGAAAAATTTTTTTTTGCTTTAATCAATAGCAATCCATGTAGAAAATATATTCCCAAAGTTACAAAACAAAATTCGAAGTTTTAAGGAGTCCACAGCCTATTTCTTGCGCGCAGATATACAAGCGCGCGGCGGGGCGCTTGGTCAACGGTACCATAAGATATAAGATTATAGAATTTGTAACTGTTTTTGGCGCGTTTTCGGAAGCACTTATTTGAGAGTGCAATTTGGAGAGTGCAAGCAAAGTGTGAAATTCGAAGAAGCAGGAAATCGGAGCCTCAGTTTTAAACTTGTTGTTACACTTTTCTTTTTACTTTTCAATACCGAAAACTTTAAACGCGTTTTTCTCGAAACCAGTTTTTGGCAATTGGCGGGAAAGATTACTCAAAAACTATTCGATCAATCGAGTTGTCCCTGTATATACATGTAGTTTAATAATATAAATTGTCGATGAACCTATAAAGTTAGTAAAATAATTAATTTAAACAATTTTTATTGCATAAATAAGGTGACATTTTGTGGGTCAAAATCGCAATTTTTTTTTAAAGTGTTGCCATTTTTTCAATTTTCAACTTTTTACTTATTTTTTAGGTTCATCGACTAGATAATTTCATAGAAAAGTAAAAACTTTTTTTTTTGGTTTTAAACGAGTGCAAAAGACGCTACAACTCCCGCCAATTCACAACTCCAGTGATGAGGCTGCGTCAACATTTGTTTATAGTGGCTCTATAATCAATTATTTTTAAACAAAAAAAATTTTTTTTACTTTTAATATATGTTATAAAACACTAAAAAGTTTAAAAAAATCCGTTGCATTGTTTCTTAAAAAAAAATTCCTAAAAATCACCTTTGTTTTAGCGATTCATACGAGGCTCCCCCCTTAATAGATCAAAAATTTAAGCCTTGTTTAATTCTCAAGAGTTTTATATTTCAAGATGTGTTGTAATAAATCATTAGAAGATAATTAATGTAATCTTCAATCTTTCTTATCCGCGTTAACAAATTCACATTAAGTAAAGTCTCATAAGAAAAGTAAATGCACTGTTAATTTAATTAATATTATTAAACGATTTTTTAATACTATTTCTTTAAATTTTAGGACAAAGTTATAAAAAATAGAAACACATGAAAGAAACATATAACTTATCTTTTTATTTGAAATACATGTTCTTAGTTGGTTGTACTTGTTGTTAGTTAATGTGTTGGTCAATAAATCAGTTTTGCATGTATGCGCAAAGAATAAAGACTTAAAATTTATGAACCGTATTGTGTACAACATGGCGATAATCATGATTGTTGACGATTGACGCAGGAAAAGTAAAATTAAGAACAGCAGAGAAATAACAAAAGATGAAATGAAAGAATTGTTCACTCCCGCGGTTTCCGACTTCTCAAAGCGACGACTTTTGGATTCTCGACAAGTCGCGTACGGCTACTGTCCTTTCGTGAGTCTCAGGAGATTTTGATTCCGTTGAAGCGACGACTATTTAATCCTTAACGGATTAGATACCGTCCCGCAAATTTACATTTCTGTCTCTTGTGTGCGTTTTTTGAGCATTAGATTTTTCTGTCGACTGGATTCTGATATTGCGCTTAAGAGACGTATTCAAGATTTAAGGTCGTAAAAGCGAGCTCTCCTTCGACGGTCGAACGCTATTCGTGAAGTGGATTTGTAGCGCGACAATCGAATTCTGGCATCGACGACATTCCGACGAGCTTAAAGAATATGTCACTTCGGGAGAAATTGGTTCAATGATTTGTGAACAATCGTAATCATCTTCTTCGAAGTACATTTGATCTTCTCTATTTCTATGTGTTTTTGCATGTTTCGGCTGCATTTCGAAAAGTAGTCGTCGCCGGCCGGTGCTATTTTACTTTGTCTCGTTTTCATCTGCCATTTTTATTTTTTAACAGATCGATAGAAGTTTCTGTGCCCTGTACGTTGGGATGGGCGCCTACATATGTAGATGTAGGTACATCAAAGGGAGGTATACGTATAGGTGGACTCAGGCCCTCAGATTTTGGTGTAGATGGTGGCAAGTATGCAGGCGGTCTGTAATTTGACGACCGGACATCATGGATGTTCCTAGGTAGCTTTAAGTTAACATCTTCATCGAATAGAAAATCTTTGATATTGCTTAGGAATTGGGCATGCTGGTGCCCTGTACTTTCACTACCTCCGTCGAAATCGTCACTGAAACTGTTATTGAAACTATCTATGTTATCACCATCGGTTGGTCTGCTGTAGTTGGAAAACGCAGACAGCTCGGCTAGTGCAAATTCTGCACCAATAATCATACACTGTAAAAATAATAAGTGTGTTACTTCTTGTAATTATGTTCCATATTCATAAGGCATTGATACTATTGGCTTACTTTAATGGATTCAGCAAATTTGAAAAATAAGCAATAATGATCTGAAATATTTTTTAATCAAAGGATTAATAATTCACATTCTTGGAATAATTGATATGTATATATTTTTCATGCGATAGTTTTTTGAATATAATATATATGCGACTTAATTATGACAAAAACCTTGCTGTAAAAAATATGAGAGTTTTCAGATTTTTATTTAAATCTACTGATAATTGCCTATTTTTCTTTTATTTGATAACTTTTTGTTGAGATTTTGTAAGCGATTTCTATTGGCCCAAGGTATGTATTTTGCTTCAAAATTTTATTTTCTGTTTCGTTTATCTTGAATAACTGATGAGAATTGTTATTAGATCATGAATCATTCCAAAAGCATTGGACAATTATTGTGGCTTCTTTCGAAACCGCGCATATCCCCAACCGAGTGGATCGAATAGCTTCGCCCGTAGTGAGCGATAGGTCAGTCTGCGAAGTGCAAGCCTAACGAGCAAATCGTTACGTAGCCGGGCTCTTGCCAGTATGAAGTAAAGTTAAATTTTTCGTTCTGTTGCGGGAAATTTCGGTTTTCAAATCGTTCTCGTCTGCGCTGCGTCTTAAAGTCTGGCTAACAATTGTTATTGTGCTGAACTGTGCCCATTTTTTTTTCACTCACTATCATCTTACGAATATAAACAGATTTCTAACCAGCTAGAATTGTTCAACATTTGACGTAATTCTCATAAATTGAGCCGCAAAGTTAAAAAGAAAATATCAAAGTATAGGAAAGTATAAAAGCATATACATTTAAGAAAAAAACATTTATGAATTATTTATTTTACGATCTTTCATAGGAGTTATTTTTCAAAATGTGTTTTTTTTTATTTATGAGAAATGAATTTATATAGATGTAATATTAAACTTATAAATATTAAAGATTATTACAAAATTGAGGTTCTTAAGTCAATAATTAATAATAAAATGTTACCAAATAACCGATTTTAGTAAGTGTAATAAGATAGTTGTAGAAAAACTCAGCGACTAATTTCTTTAATATTTTTCCGATAAATGCAGAACAAATCTAATTATATGAATTACGACGTTAGATAGTGTTTTCTAAATTTTGCTTTTTTAATTGCGCAATATGTCATCATCGCGTTGCATTAGGAAATGCAATTTGATCTCTAAAAGTCAAAATGAAGCGAACGAAAGAGAAAGCGTCATTAGATGTTTGCCATTTGCCGCGAGGTAATTTGAAACACACATCACGGGAGTTCACAGACGTATTCTTAGTTGTATTCTAAAAAAATTAATATTTGGTTTCCGTACTGCTATAAATCTCGATTATTGTATTCTTTTTATACTTTCTTGCGATTTCTGTCACTCACACGCGTATTTGTGCACTACATGTTTCTACTTGTTTCTTTTCAATCCCTGTTTTTTCTCCGTTTTACACGCATTGGTTCTTAGCTTAAGTAATATAAAAAGAAATTTTATTTACCGTGATCAGGAGATTCATGTCAGCTTCTGCGATTCTACTCTGTTCTGTAATTGCGTGGATGGTAGAAGCTATTTATACCTGGAAAAGGCAAGAGGGTATATTCTCACAAAGAAGAGACGGGGGTTTCTCCCGAGTGAAAGTGATTTAATTGAAATTTTACACATATACATATGTCCATCCATTCATTTTCAATATGTCAACATGATATTCTCCAGGAAATCGCAAAAAAGCAGTTTTATCATTTAATTGATCAAGCAACTATTAGATAACTTCGACATATTATACACATATATTCGTCGCTGCATTTGGCATCTACTCCAACGCGCAACTCTTGTTCGTGTCTTAAGTGTGTTTGTTGTTGACTTACCATTAATTCGTTACTGATTTTAACCACTTTTAAGTAGTTACCAACATTTAAGTTTTTTGGAATTGCTCACGTCAAATCGTCCAAATACATTCTTATCTGTATTTGAAATTGCGGTAAATTGGTGATCTCGCTATTTTTATTGCAGAGCGAGATATTGACAATAATTTCACTGACGATTCATGAAATTTGTTTTTACGAAGATCTTGCGATACTATTGTCATAATAAAATGCATGCCGATGATACTACTTTATTTTCCACTTTGTGATTTTATATCTTTTTATAGATAAAAAATTTAAAGTGTTGTAGATGTATGATTCTCAAGAGTTTTATATCTAAATATGTGTTGTAATAAATAATAAATTAGAGGATATTTAATGTTATTTTGCTATTGGGTCTTTCTTATCTGCGCTATCAAATTTACAGTAAATAAATGTATCATAAGAAAAGCATATGCACTCTTAATTTCAATGATATTATTAAACATTATTTAATATTTTCATTCTCAAATTATTTAACAGCTACAAAAAAAATATATTTTTTCATTCTTTCTTGCATATTACATTATAAATTTTCCTGAAAGTTCTAATCTCCAATGAATTTTCCAGAAATCGATGAATGATTGATTTTTTAATTTTATTTCTATAAATTTTGAGAGAAAGTTATAAAAAAATCAAAACATGATAGAAACGTATAACTTATTTTTTTATTTCAAATACATTCTCTTAGTTGGTTATACTTGTCGTTAGTTAGTGTGTTAATCAATAAATCAGTTTTGCATGGTATTCGCAAATCACGTCTTTGTCTTATCGGCCTCGTCTTATTCCTTTCGCTTGTTCTATGAATGCCTTGAGTGCAGGACAGCGTTGTCACAGTGAATTTATTTATGTTTATCTATTTACAACCAACTATCACGGCTGTCTCGATGAGATATCACTGATTTTCAATTTTCTGCATGCAAGGATGATCGACGACTGATGTGATTTTGGTACAATAAGTTTTGACACCGCACCGACTATCTAGAATGGTTTTGGCGATTGATCATCCAGCAGAGAAATGACAAAAGATGAAACGAAAAAATTGTTCACTTCCTCGGTTTTTGACTTCTTGAAGCGACGACTTTTGGATCCTCGACAAGTCGCGGACGGCTGTCCTTTCGTGAGTCTCGAGAGATTTCGATTCCTTTGAACTTTCCGACGACTATTTAATTCTTAACAGATTAGATAGCATCCCGCAAATTTACATTTTTGCTTCTTGCGCGCGTTTTTTGAGCATTTGATTTTTCTATTGGCTGGATTCTGACATTGCTCCTAAGGGATGTATTCATAATTTAACGTCGCAAAGGCGAGCTCTTCTTCGACGATCGAACACTATTCGTGAAATGGATTTGTAGCGCGACAATCGAATTCTGGCGACTTTCCGACGAGCTTAAAGAATATGTCACTTCGGGAGAAATTGGTTCAATGATTTGTAACATCGTAATCATCTTCTTCGACATTTGATTTTCTCTATTTCTATGTGTTTTCGCATGTTTCGGCTGCATTTCGAAAAGTAGTCGTCGCCGGCCGGTGCTATTTTACATTGTCTCGTTTTCATCTGCTATTTTTTTTTGACCGTAACAAATCGAAAGCAGTTTTACTTTCTATATTTGCATTGGGATGGGCGCCAGTAAATTTTCTGGTCATCGGAAGAATTTCAGGTGGAAGTATAGGTGCAGGTGTACTTATTTCTAGAACTGCAAATAAAGGTGTAAATTTAGTTGTAGGTGTAACTGAAGCAGTTGGTGTAACTGAAGTAATTGGTGGCAAATATGGTGGTGGCGTGGTGTAATTTGACGACTGGGCATCATGGATGTAGATAGGCTTTATGTGAACTTCATCGACTGGAAGATATTCTCTGTTATTGCTTAGGAATTGGGCATGCTGGTGCCCTGTACTTTCACTACCTCCGTCGAAATCGCCACCGAAATTGTTACTGAAACTATCTATGTTATCACCATCGATTGGTCTGCTGTAGTTGGAAAACGCAGACAACTCGGCCAGCGCAAATTCTGCACCAATAATCATACACTGTAAAAAGAAAAAAAATAAGTGTGTTACTTCTTGTAATTATGTTCCATATTCATAAGGCATTGATACTATTGGCTTACTTTAATGGATTCAGCAAATTTGAAAAATAAGCAATAATGATCTAAAATATTTTTTAATCAAAAGATTAATAATTTACACTCTTGGAATAATTGATATGTATATATTTTTTAAGCGATAATTTTTTGGATATAATATATATGCGATTTAATTTTGATAAAAATCTTGTAAAGAATAAGAGATTTTTCAGATTTTTATTCAAATTTACTAATAATTGCACCTATTCTTTTTTTATTTGATAACTTTTTGTTGAGATACGTGTTGAGATTTCGTAAGCGATTTCTGTTGGTCCAAGGTGGACTTGGCTCCGTAATTTTATTTTCTGTTTTGTTTATCTTGAATAACTGATGAGAACATTGTTATTAGGTCACGGATCATTTCAAAAGTATTGGACAATTTAATTCTAATCTAATTCTAATTTCTAATTTTTTCAATGTTTTTCTGATAAACGCAGAACAAATCTCATTATATGAATTACGACGTTAGATAGTGTTTTCCAAATTTTGCTATTTGAATTCCGCAATGTGTCATCGTCGCGTTGCATTAGGAAATGCAATTTGATCTCTAAAAGTCGAAATATAGCAAACGAAAGAGAAAGTGTTATTAGATGTTTGCCATTTGCCGCGGGATAATTTGAAGCACGCATCACGGGAGTTCAGAGGCGACAGTTATATTCTTAAAAAATTAATACTTGGTTTTCGTACTGCTCAAAATTATTTTATCCTTTTTATGTTTTTTTGTGATTTCTCTCACTCACATGCATTTGTGCACTACATTGTTTTACTCGTTTCTTTTCACTCTCGATTTTTTCTCCGTTTTACAGGTATTGTTTCTTAGCGTAAGTAATATAAAAAAAAGTTTATTTACCGGTATTAGGAGGTTCATGTCAGCTGTTGCGATTCCACTGTTCTGTGACTCCATGTCTGGTAAGGCCCATTTATATCATGTAGAAAAGGCACGAGAGTATACGGGAAACTACTACTAAGAAAAGTCGAAGGTTTTTTTGATGTGAGAATGACTTAATTGACATTCGACAGACACACACAATCGCGCGCGTGCGTGTGTGTTTGCTAAAAATGTCAATTAAATCGCTCTCACTCTAGAGAAACTCCTAAAATTTCATGGTAACATATTGCTTAATTAAAAATATATATGCACGGTGACCTAGACCGAATGCATCGTACTGAATTAATATTCTTGAGATCATTCTGAGATAAAAATCTTAATACCGTCGAGGCTGTAATAGTTTTTTGAAGCATTTAAAGTTGATTTATTAAGTTAGTCTAAATTCGCGCACTTCTCAGGCATGATACATCATATAGTAATCAGGATACTTTCAAGTATCGATTTGTTTTTAAATACAAACATAATTTTATGTACAATGAAAAATAAAAGCAGATGAAAATCTGGAGATATCTTTATTATTGTCTAATGTTTCATGTTTGTGTGCGCAAATTTATAGCAACCTGGTTGATCAACTTTAAAAGCTTCGTATTTAAAAACTATTACAGTCTCGACATTTTAGTAATAGAATTTTCATCTCAAAATGATCTCAGGAATGTGCCATTACTGTGTAATACAGTTAGTGTGGGACACTTTGTGGGTGGGACACATATACACCGTGTGTATAAAAATGTATGAAAAATGTGATCGTTCGACGAGGACAGAAGTATCATGCAAGCAGCGAGCAGGCAGAAGCTTCATTTTTCGGTACCGTGCGATATTCACAACTAACATGTCTAGACATAAATCTCATAGTCTTGCCACACGAATATCTTGCGAGAAATGCAAAACGATAAAGGACTTTTGCAATAAGTATTGAGATAATAATTTTAAAGGATTGGCAAATAAGCGCGCGATTTATTTAGTAAGACTGTGAAATTTATTACTAGTTGTGCCATCGTTGAGTGTTGCACGGCAAAGTTAAAGGTAAAGGTAAAGTTTCTGCCCGTTTGCTGCTTGCGTGTTATTTCTGTCTTCGCTGAGTGATCATATTTTTCATTATATACAGAGTATATGTCTCACATTAACTGCATCACACAATAATGTCCTGAGATCATTTTGAGATAAACTTTTTCCTTTATCATTTTTTTTTATCTTTAACGTGATAAGCGCTAGAGCTTAGCCCAGTTCCGTGGACCACCCCGTACATATCTGTGTCTTAAGCGTCTTTGTTATTGACTTATGATTAGTTTGTTATTGTTGTCAGCCACTTTTAAGTACTTACCAAGCATTTAAGTTTTTTTAATTGCTTGTCAAATTATCCGAATAAATTCATCTTTATCTATATCAAGAGACACGGTAGTGTCTCGTGCCAAGTTCACGCGCAGCGCGCAATGCAAGCGCAAGACCGCCCGTGTCTCTTTACGCGAGCCCGAAAGTTGAGACGAGCCGAGATTATCGGATCTCAATAACGGCTGGGCCGATTGAGTTGATAATAGGCTCAATCGATAGCACATACCCAAATTACATAAAAAAAGTATGCTTGTTTTTACTGTAGGTGCTGTAGAAAATAAATTATAATAATCCAAAGTCAAAATGTTGACATATTTGTCATTTTTCTAGGATGTCCAGCTAAAATGTCCAGTTTCCGATTTCTGACATTAGGTGCGCTGATGGCGCTTAGAAGCCGCGCGTCGCGCGCTTACGATTTGACATTTTTTACATATACTAGAACAATACAGGCGCGCGCTGCGCGCGCGCACTTATTATAGTAATTTAATAATTAGGAAATCTAAATATTTAGATAAATTTTTTATTTTAAATAACCGTCAAAATAACCTTCGCTATCAAGCTATCAAACTATGGCTGCGTTCCCATTTCGTCTCACTCAGTGCAGTATCCAGTGGCCGCCATT